TAATTAGAATTTTATTAATAATTTGTATTGTTTTGGTGATTGTTGTATGAAAGTATTCGTATAAATGGGTTGCTATGATAGAAAAAATATGAAAATTTGATTAGTTGGTGAATGCTCCTTGCGGGCTTCAAGTTAAGGTCTTTTCTTCTTCAACGTTTTCCTACAATTTTGTCTCGGACAGGATAAATATTGGTTTGTTTTGTTTTACAACATATCCACGTCAATTGGTTATTTAATGCCGACAAGATTTTTATTACTGGTAATATTTTTTTTTCAAAAATGTATTGCTGGTAATTTTTAAAAAAAAAGTGTTTCCGGCAACATTTTTCCAAAAATGTATTTCTGGTAATACTTTTTTTCCAAAAATGTATTTCTGGAAATATTTTTTTCCAAAAATGTATTTCTGGAAATATTTTTTTCACAAAAATGTATTTCTGGAAATTTTTTTTTTTCCAAAAATGTATTTCTGGTAATATTTTTTTTTTCAAAAATGTATTGCTGGAAATATTTTTTTTCCCAAAAATGTATTGCTGGTAATATTTTTTTCCAAGAATGTATTGCTGATAATAATGTACTGCTGGTAATAATTTTTTCTTGAAAAATGTATTGTTGGTAAGAATATTTTACAACAATGTATTGCTTGTATTAAAACCTATTTTTACAGTTTCATAGTACTTTGACCCCAATTTGGGGGTTAACTATTTGCCCATAGCTGGGACCCTAATAGGTACTCCCCACTCGGGCCAGTGTGAATCTGGGAAAACCAGCAATTCTGAGGTGATTCCACGCTCCTCAAAACCTCATGATCAGAAGCTTTGCTATTGGAAGTAGTTTATCGTCTTACCCAGGATACGGATATAGATTATCGTTTTACCCAGGACACGGATGTAGTTTATCGTCGTACCCAGGACACGGATGTAGTTTATCGCCTTACCCAGGATGAAGCTGTAGTTTATCATCGCACCCAGGACACGGATGTAGTTTATCGTCTTACCCAGGACGCGGATGTAGCTTATTGTTTTACCAGGGACACGGATGTAGTTTATCGTCTTTCCCAGGACACGGATATATTTTATCGTCTTACCCAGGACGCGGATGTAGCTTATCGTCTTACCTAGGACACGGATGTAGTTTGTCGTCGTACCTAGGACAAGGATGTAGTTTATCATCATACTCAGGACGCGATAAATATTGGGGAAAAGTTTGCAGGATTTGTGAGATGATGTAGTGGTCAACGTTGTGAGAATTTGGGTCGGAGTACTGAGTTCGAATTCTAGTCTGGTTCGTTACATTCACTTGTGATGCCTTCTGACCCAACCTTCTCACCCATTCTAGAATTGAGTTGAAAAACAGGACAGAATGGGTCCTGTAGCCTTGGTTGGCAACCAGTCTAGCGCAGAAACAAAACGGCAGACTAGTGTGAAAAAAATGTCTGCCTAGTCAGTATTTAACCTACCTCCCCACGTGGCAGAATGTGGCACAAGGCCGATTTTTATGTGGGGCGATCCGAGCCCGTAGACTCCCGGCAAAATTTCCCTGTAGACCCCGCATAAACGGGATCGAGTTTGTCACTCTCCCCAGACGAGACACTGCCCTTCGTTATAGCCTCGTTTGGGTTCCTCTCTGTCCGAAAGCAAGCCCCCCTCGCCCCCCCAAAAAAACCTACTGTCTCGAAAGAGGCATGATCTCCTAAACGTGTATTACGTGATGGCATTTATCTGACTGAATAATTTGTTGAATTGAGAAAGTACTGACCAGCTATTCTATTAGGCATTATCAAAACCAATAGAATAGGCAAAAACGCTCGGATATATAGAACATTGGGACAATTTTTAAACACTTTATGTTCAAATAAGAAAACCCTTATACGAACACAAGAAAAATGAAATAAAAAGCTTGTCAATGGTCCTTAAAGAAACTTGTATAGTCGATTAATAAATGTTCAATTGATTTCTCTCTTGTTGTTAATTTTATTCCATGTTTATCATTTTCAAACCAATTTTGTTTACAATTATTTATGGCAATTAATTTGGCAACCAAGAGACAAGCGGCTTCATTATTTAACAATTAAATTAATTTTCACTTGTAACAGATACATCCATACGTAGAAAAAATAAAAAAAGATAATGGAAATACTAATAACAAAAAAAGAAAAAGCCAACACTCTGTAACATCAATTATGAACACGGACATAATGTACTGACCGTGTTTTGAAAATAAATGAAAACATTCTCATCACTCTAGAAACATATATAAACATCTACACAATCAGTTAAAAAAAGAAGAAAAACCCTTAATAATAGCAAAATTATGATTTGAATAACATGACAGAAAGGGTCCTATAGCCTTGGATGGCAACAAGTCTACCACAGAATGAAATGGCAACCTACTGCGGGAAAATCTTCTGCCTAGTCAGTCATGAATCAAAAGAGACATGATCGCCCAAGTGTGTATCACGTGATGGCACTTTACTGGCTTTATCTCTTCTTCCCTCGGCTATGATTTGAATAACAGGACAAAATGGGTCCTATAGCCCTAGATGGCAACAAGTCTACTTCAGACAGAAATGGCAACCTACTGTGGGAAAATCTTCTGTCTAGTCAGTCATGAATCAAAAGACACATGATCGCCCAAATGTGTATCACGTGATGACACTTAACTGACTGAATAATTTGTTGAAATGAGAAATTACTGACCAGTTATTTTGTTAGGCATTATCAAAATCAATAGAATTGAAGAAAACGCTCGACATAGAACATTCGGGCTGTTTTTAAACATTTTATATCCAGAAAAGAAAACTTTTACAATCTGTTTCATGCTTAAATGCAATTTACAGGCCATGTGTTTTGGATCGACTATTCATATATGATGGTCAGTGGTGCATTATGTGTAGCAAGGTCTATTGTTTTATCCTGACGGTTATTTTTAACGGTTATGTTTTAAATTATTCTAGAGGCTATTGAGTAGAAATGGTGGTGGATCTGAATGTAGTTATTTGTATATATTTTACATTGTTCACATTTTACTCATTATTTATTAATGATTAGTTAATTAGTCGTTTATCATCATTATTATTATTATTATTATTATTATTATTATTTGCGTTTGTGTGTGCATTCGTAGTTTGTTAATTTATTTAGTTTTTTTCTTTATTTTCTTTATTTTAGTTTGATTTTTTTTGCAGTTGTTCATTATCTTATTTATTTAGTTTAAACCAGGGGCCGGCAACCTTTTTATAACTATGTGCCGACTTAGGCTTTTAAAATCATTCAGCGTGTCAACAACATACATATTTTTATACAAGTCATGGTCAATATACCTGTTCTACAATATATTTTATATAGTAATATATAGTATATATACTTTAGTATATATTAAAATTGAAACAGCTAAATATCTTCTTTGCGTTGTAGTAGTTATTGGTTCGGACTTTGTGATGTCATTTGTAGCTGCGTGCCACCGGTTATTGCTTGGTGTGCCGCTTTTGGCACGCGTGTCGTAAACTGCCGACCCTTGCTCTAGAAAATTCGGTTATTTATTTTTGGTGTTAAGTATAAGTGTTCTTTTTGTTTCCATTTTGTCTAAAACTTTGTCGTTGCTCACATGTTCAGTCCATGGTAATCTCAGCATCTTTCTATAGAACCACATTTCTGTTGCTTCAATTCGCTTCTTCATCTGTGAGGTGATTGTCCGTTAGGAAGGACTTTATAATTGAGATGATTCTTCCAGTGATTCCATAGCTAGAGAACTTGTGCGGGGACCCATCCTGCCACGCCTTGTCAAAGGTCTTTGAATATCTAATGCGATCGTCTTTGATATGCATTTCCTGTCGTTTAATTATAGCTTCAAAAAGTTGTCTAATGACAATGAGGAGGTTGATGGTCTATACCAGTGGTCGGCAACCTTTTACTAACTATGTGTCGGCTTAGGGTTTTAAAATAATTGAGTGTGCCAAGGGCATACTTATTTTTTATACAAGTCAAGGTCAATATACATGTTCTAAAATATATTTTATATAGTAATATATAGTATATATACTTTAGTATATATTAAAATTGAAACAGCTAAATATCTTCTTTGTGTTGTAGTAGTTATTAGTTCAGACTTGTCATTTGCAGCTGCGTGCCATTGGAAACTACTTGGTGTACCATGTGCTGCTCGCTTGCCGTAGGTTGTCGACCCTTGCTTGAAACGATTGCTTTTTTAAAAAAGTATGTTACTCTATCAGGCATTTCATATATTTGCATTTATCATGGTGGTGTTTTAAAAGGTATTTGTTTTTTAACTAATTTTTATATATATATATATATATATATATATATATATATATATGTATGTATGTATGTATATAACATTCATTTGAAGTTAAAGAAAGGCATGTCGTTTTGTTTCTTTTTTTTTTCTCTCTCTTTCTGTGTTTCGCTTTGCCGCATATTCACGTTTCCTCTTTCTTTCGTGAGTGCTTGTACACCTTTAAAGATGCATTCGCGTACAGTCTCCGCGTTGTAGCCTCAGGTCTTGCGCATGCGTCAGACTGACATAGAATAGCCATTTTAACGGCGGAAGACTTTAAAATTAAACTTAATCAATGTAGCGCCCTCTGGCGTTTGAGAGGGGGGGGATAATTTTCCCTTGACAAAAAAAAAAAAAAAAAAAAAAATTGGAAAGACCAAAACGTAATTGAAGGGCGAAAAAGAATAAATGTAATTTGTCATAAATTTAGAGAAGAAGACGAAGATGAGCGGGGAGACGAAGAACAGAAAGAAGAAGAAGAAGAAGAAGAAGAAGAAGAAGAAGAAGAAGAAGAAGAAGAAGAAGAAGAAGAAGATATAAAGAAGGTACAGTGAAAAAGAAGACAAAAAAGAATATATAAAATAAGTTAGGGTAGAAAATAAGAAGGAGGAGGAGGAGAAGAACATATAAATAAAGGAAGTTAGATTTAAACAGCACAGGAGAAAGAAGATAAAAAGAAAAGCAGATGGAGGAAATAAAAGGGAAGTCTAAGAAGAAGAAAAGAGAAGAAAAGGATAAAAAAAAGAAAAAGAATCTAGAATAAACTGTGAAAAAAGGGAAAGCATGTAGAAAAAAGAAGAAAGGAAAAGAAAGAGAAAAAAGAAGGAAAGCATGTAGAAAAAAGAATAAAGAGACAAAGAAAGAGAAAAAGAAGGAAAGCATGTAGAAAAAAGACGAAAGGGAAAAAGAAAGAGAAAAAAGAAGGAAAGCATGTAGAAAAAAGAAGAAATGAAAAGAAAGAGAAGGAAAGCATGTAGAAAAAAGAATAAAGAGACAAAGAAAGAGAAAAAGAAGAAAAACACGTAGAAAAAAGACGAAAGAGACAAAGAAGGAGAAAAAGAAGGAAAGCATGTAAAAAAAGACGAAAGAGACAAAGAAAGAGAAAAAGAAGGAAAGCATGTAGAAAAAAGAATAAAGAGAAAAAGAAAGAGAAAAAGAAAGAAAGTATGTAGAAAAAAGAATAAAGAGACAAAGAAAGAGAAAAAGAAGGAAAGCATGTAGAAAAAAGAAGAAAGAGAAAAAGAAAGAGAAAAAGAAGGAAAGCATGTAGAAAAAAGAAGAAAGACGAAAAGAAAGAGAAAAAAGAAGGAAAGCATATAGAAAAAACAAGGAAGAGAAAAAGAAAAAGAAGGAAAGCATGTGGAAAAGAGGAAAAGAAAGAGAAAAAGAAAAAAGAAGAAAGACGAAAAGAAAGAGAAAAAAGAAGGAAGAAAAAGAACAAAATAAAACAAAAAAGAAGAGGCAAAAAGAGTAAATGGAATAGAGTTATGAAAAAGAAATGGGGTGGGGGATAGACAGATTAGAAAGGGGGTGGGGCCATGAGGACAGCGATTAAAGAAAAAAAATGCAATGAAGGGACTGAGAAAATAAAAGGACATTGAAAGAAAAGACTGACAACAAAGAAAAATGAAGAAAATTGAGAAGAAAATGAAAAAAGAAAAAGAAGGAATCCATAGCAATGATGACGACGCAGAAGGCATAAAAGAAGGTACAGTTGAAAAAGAAGAAAGAAGAAGAAGAAGAAGAAGAAGAAGAAGAAGAAGAAGAAGAAGAAAAAGGGGAAGAAATTTAAGAAGAAGAGCGAAAGGGAAAAAAAAAACCACAGGCCCATCACTAATGAACCAAAACAAAGAAACAAAGAAAAGAAAAAAATTAGCGTAAACAAAAATAACATTTTTCTAAAAATAGGCTTTAAAGAAAAGTTGAAAATCCAGGAAAAAGCCCAAAATATATATATATATATATATATATATATATATATATATATATATATATATATATATATATATATATATATATATATATATATATATATATATATATATATATATATATGTGTGTGTGTGTGTGACGGACATACATATATATATACATATTTACAATTTCTTTTTTAAGTCACAGTTTCCCTTGTAATTAGTAGCTTTATATCAGGAACGAAACTCAGAAGTAAAAAAAAAAATTGAATTAAATATAAACTTAACAAAAACAAAAATGGCGGCGGAGGATTTTTAAAGTAAATAAGTCTTTCTTTTGTTTCGTGGGAGTTTTCTTTTTTTATTGTTTGTCGTTAAAAGTACTGTCTACAAACATATTTCTCGCAAAAGGCAAAGTTGGACGCACTTTGACGGATCGATACAAAAATATCCTCAGAGGAAAGGGGAATTTTCAAGTTTATCTAATTATTTGCAGATGGTTAACGTGTTGTCTTTCTTTTAGAATTTTTTTTTTTTTATCATTGATGCACACACCCTCTTCTACACCATCAACACCAGCCGCAGCAGCATTTTATGATGATTACTAGCGTTTCTGTTCGAGACAAAATGTACTTAAGACCAATCCCGCTTTGAATAACTATACATTTCAAACCTAATTATATGCTCCGATGTGAGAAATTTATCAAATGATAAAAAGTGTACATGTGATGGAGTATTTTATGTTAGTTAATAATTGATAAGGATTTTATTATTAATTTCTTATTAAATTTTAAAAATATATGCTTTCATTCCATTTCTTATTCGATGAAGAATTGCAAACAATTGTTATTAAATATTAATCATTATATGGACTCTCATGATGTTGTACAGACTTTTTATTAGATGAAACATTGTCAGCCATTATTATTAATTTTTAACTAGTATTTACTTTCATCTTCATTTTTTATTAGATGAAAGATTGTCAGCCATTATTCTTAATTTGTAAGCAGTATTTAGTCTCATCTTCATTTTTTATTAGATGAAGCATTGTCAGCCATTATTATTAATGTTTGACAAGTATTTACTTTCATCTTCATTTTTTATTAGATGAAGCATTGTCAGCCATTATTATTAATGTTTGACAAGTATTTACTTTCATCTTCATTTTTTATTAGATGAAGCATTGTCAGCCATTATTATTAATGTTTGACAAGTATTTACTTTCATCTTCATTTTTTATTAGATGAAGCATTGTCAGCCATTATTCTTAATTTTGACTACTTTCATCTTCATTTTTATTAGATTTTATCTTTTATTAGAAGAATTTATCTTTTATTAGAAGAATCATTGTTATTATTTATAGTTTTTCCAAGATTAGTATTCCATTGTGTCCTATAGTACCTTTGGCTAACCTTATCAGCTCAGGTAAACCCCCTTATCCTGCCTCCCGTTGTCTAGATTCTTTATTTCTGTTGCTTCATGAATAGCAGAACGTCATTCATTGTGTGCCACTTAAAATCAACAAATGCCTTATATAAATGAAGAAGTGTCAATAATTTTTTTCTTTCTTTAATTCTTCAAATACCATATATAAATGAAGAATTAGTTATATTTATTCCCTTTCTTCAATTTGCATTCGTCTTCCTTCACACGTCTATATCGCTGATATATTGCTTTTCCAAAGGAACCACTTTTTTTCTTTTATCTATGATCTATCTATCTATCTATCTATCTATCTATCTATCTATCTATCTATCTATCTCTCTCTCTCTCTCTATATATATATATATATATATATATATATATATATATATATATATATATGTGTGTGTGTGTGTGTATTTAGGCAGCAATCCTTCTTTCATGCACATGTATAGCCGAAAGTGCTCGGATAAAAAGAACATCCGGACAGTTTTTATATAATTTATCATCTGGAAAGACAAAATTGTTAAATCGCCTGAGAAATTGTATAAAAACTAAATAAAAAGCACCTTGTCTGTCTTCAATGAAATGTGCATATATATATATATATATATATATATATATATATATATATATTAGTTATATAAATATAGGTAATTTATGAAAAACTAGGTAATCCGTGGGTAAACCTAAGGAGCCCAATGTAAATTCAGAGCAAATAATTTAAATAAAAACAGACCACTTTAAGGTTCCATGTAATAAATTATTTCACCACAGCCCTTTTAAAAGGACCGTTTCAATGTGTCAATATCTTCTCACTCACTCATGTCTTCTCTCTCCCCCCTCACTTCCTCACTTCGTTAATTTACATATGTTTAATACGGCCCGTCAAAAATGTGTAAATTTTCTTTTCATTTTTTTCTTTGGAAGTAAAGTCTGATGATCCGCAGTCCTTTTAAAAGGGCTGTGGTGAAATAATTTATTACATGGAACCTTAAAGTGGTCTGTTTTTTATATATATATATATATATATATATATATATATATATATATATACAGTGTAACCCGGATATAAGAGAGTTGTCGGGAGAGGAGAAGAAGTCTTTTATATCCGGGTTTCTCTTATATCCGGGTTTGGTCTATTTTGTTGAGGTAAGTATGTGCTCTAATTTGGGACCAGAGAAAATCTATCTTATATCCGGGTTTCTCTTATATCCGGGTCTCTTATATCCGGGTTACACTGTATATATATATATATATATATATATATATATATATGTTTCAGTTGTGTTCCTTATTCTGTCTTCCTCTCTTTCTTTATACTTATTTTATTTCCTTTATTAGATTCTTTACATTTATTGGTATTATTTGTACAAAAAGTATGAGCGGCATTTATTTTCTAAAAAAAAAAAAAATAGGTAAGATGGACAAAATTTTCATCCGAACAAAGATAAAAATAACACTGAAAATCTCATTTTAAAAAATACATTTATCAAAATTACATAAAAATATCTTGAATTGCGAAAGAGTAAATTTATTGAATAAAATCGTCATTGACTTCAACTATTGCCTCCAAACGACTTCGGAATCTCCTGCAACTCTTCTCTACGGTCTCCTTGTTTAAGTTGGTGAATGCTGTCATAATCCTTACCTTCAGTTCATCTTTGGTGTTACAAGGAGTTTTGTTGGTTTCTCAGTCAAATGCACCCCACACATGATAATCAAGGGGGTTGCAGTCTGCAGAGTTAGGTGGCCAGATGTAAGGGGTGACGTAGTCACAGAAATTGTTTGACAGCCATAACTGGGTTCTCCTGCTTATGTTGCATGGTGCAGAGTCCTGTTGTCAGCCACCCTCTTGACCCAGGGCAGCACTACTTCTTTAAGGTACTTGATGTAGGCCTCCCTGTTTTGTTTGAGGCTCTATGGGAAGATGAATGGAGGCATAACGTGGCCATCACTAATGATCACTCCAAAACACCTTCGTAATCACCATTAGATTCACCTAACTCTTTCCAAATTCTTTGCACTGTTCTCATGTTGGCACTCAAACACGTATATATTGGAGCTTTTGGCGCAAATGCTAAGCACTACATCAAGCCGTTTCCAAATTTCTTGCGGATTGAATTGCGTCATGATGCTTTTTTTTTTTCTTTCAGGTGGTGCCCAACTGACCCTACTATTCTGTGCAATCAACAAAATCAAAAACAAGCAACGCGCATGCACGGAATTAAAAATATAAAATGGCAACAGTTTACCCATCGCGCCCTGTATGCATTCACAGTACTGCAGTACTACGGTAAGCTTACTAGTATTGCTCAGAATCTAGGGTCGCATTATTCATCAGCTTTATGTAAAATTATTCAGGGATCATAGTGTTATACTGGAACATACCTATTCTATTGTTAATAGACTCTCCCGCCTATAATAAGTAGTAGTAGTAGCAGTCGCCAGTGAGCTCAGTGAGTTGGTCTGAGTTCAGTCTGAAGTCGGACGACCAGCTGACCGGTTGAACTCTCTGCCTTCGGGCGGTGAGGAACCCGAACGAGGCTACGCCGAAGGGAGGAGTCTCTTTCAGGGATGTAAACCGACCCTGAACCCGTTTATACGGGTTCAAAGGGCATATTTTTGGCCGAGCCCACAGGCTCGGAGATCCCACGTTAAACCGGTCTTGTGCCACATGATGCCCTCGTGGGGGGTGACTAAATACTCTCAGTGAGTTGGTGAGTCAGCCGATGTCGGACATTAAAGTATCAACCACCACAACAAGATTGCTGCGTCATTAACTATTATAACAAGTTCCTAACGTTTTGTACGTCGAACCTTTTTAGGACCGACTTAGTGAAATACAAGCCTCCACTGTGAAAACTACTCTATAACACATAGTCTATATGAAGTAGGATTATACACAATAAAGAGGTGGATACTAATTTGAATAGAAAAATAGATTTGAATACAGTTTACCGAGCCCACGGTTTTGGAAGATGACAATGACATGAAAAAGTGTTCACTGAACAGAATTGATGAACATGATACAGTACTGATAATTATGGTGGCAAAGAATTATACAGTAAGTGATTTTCTCGCCATTTTGGGGCAACTTTATACAAAAATGAATGAAAACTATTAATTTGCTTTAAAATATGTCGATGATGATGCCCAGTATTGAAATATTTGACTACTGTAGCCCTATTAATATTGCCCAGATGCTGGGGTCACATTTTACATAGGCCATATGAAAAAAAATTATGGTTTTCAAGAAAAGACATCAAAGGCCGAATTATACGTGAAATAGGCATACGCATGTATATTCAGGCTGTGAAACATTGTGTTATTAAAATATCTGCATTCTGACGTATATTTTTCGTATTTCTTGATAAAAATTCACGTTAGACTGTGCAAATAGGATATAGCAGCAAACAAAACGAGTAATTATCAATATTTTTAAAAAGGACTAATATTAACAATCGGAAGTACATAAAATACAAGGCCAAGATAAATATGTCGGGAAAGTTTTATTTAATAGCAATTTATTGCCACAATATTAATTTGTATAATAAATTTTGAAATACCCTGATTTTTTTTCACAGAATCATCATCCAAAACAAGGCTGAAAATGCAGTCAAGGTAGAGGATTACTGAATACGTTTGTTGTATGAACGTAAGAGGAGGAAGTTGGGTTTACTAACAAGATGAAATATCTCTAGACATGAACAATCTGATCCCCAGAGATTAAATAAAGAGTTCAGTTTGTAATTGTTCTTCTCTCTCTGTTTGCTGTTCACTCCCTCAGTTTCCACCCAGTCTCATTCTTTCTATCTGCAAATAAGCCCTTCTCTCTATATATATACTTGAGACGCTCTCCTTCTCTCTATCTGTTATCTCCTCGACCCTTTACTCAGCTCTTCTGCGAATCTTTCCCGCCCTCAATTAATTTTTTCTCATTCTATCCGTCAGCTACTCTCCTTTCTCTCTGCCATCACAGACATTTATATCACACCGGGTGTATCAAAAATACTTCTACAAGCTTTGGAGGCGACCTTCTCTCATCAAACAAATACCACTTGATGTGTACTGATACCTGGATCGTCTCTTACTGTCTGTAGAATGTGTTTCTCGTAATTAAAGAGACGAACGGATCCCGGTTTTCCCCGATCCATATTTGGTAGTGCTATCTCAGCAACGCGACGAAAAACATCAGCAAACTTTGGATAACTCGCCTGCCGTCGGTCTGGAAACGCAATCTGATACAGCCGTGCAGCCTCGCGTCCATTACTATTCGCGCGGCCTCGTGTAAAAATCATATCTGCCTGCTCAGGATATGAATACCCTATCATTGTTAAACGGAAGCCTTCTCAGTTAACTCTCTACTACACAAGTTAAACGCTGAAGACAGCCTAGCCACAAATATACATGAATGACAAATATAACGTAGTCTAGATGGCATGATAGCCGCATTAAACGTATCGTATTTTCCAAGCCTTTCTTCCTCATTATATGCCCTAGTGTTGTGGTGTCCTCCCTCTAAGAGTCTATGTTAGACTCTTCCACCTACTATAAGTTTGGTAGGAGAGAAGGAACAGTAAACAGTGAACAGTGAATAGATTGAGCGCTGGTTCATTCGATACACCCTCACTCGTCGTGTAATACTCGTCTGGTGTACTTAATGTTTAATATACGATATATCTGCAAACCGAGTTTTTGTCATTACTTAACCATTTACTTGATCACAACAAAGGTTATGTTTTTAATTAAAATAAATTAAATAAGCATCGCACTTAATTCATTTCATTATATGTTGTCATTGTTTACGTTAAGATACGTTTCATGAGCAGATATGATTGATCAAGAAAAACCGTTGACTTAGGTTTTAGATAGATAGATAGATAGATATGAAGAGACTTAGGTTTTAGATAGATAGATATGAAGAGACTTAGGTTTCAGATAGATAGATAGATAGATATGAACATACTTAGGTTTTCGATAGATAGATACATAGATATGAACATACTTAGGTTTTAGATAGATAGATAGATAGATAGATAGATAGATAGATAGATAGATAGATAGATATGAACGGACTTAGGTTTTAGATAGATAGATATGAAGAGACTTAGGTTTCAGATAGATAGATAGATAGATAGATAGATAGATAGATAGATAGATATGAACATATTTAGGTTTTCGATAGATAGATAGATAGATAGATAGATAGATAGATAGATAGATAGATAGATAGATATGAACAGACTTAGGTTTTCAGATAGATAGATAGATAGATAGATAGATAGATAGATAGATATGAACAGATAGATAGTTATGAACAGACAGAGGTTTTAGATAGATAGATAGATAGATAGATAGATAGCTAGATAGATAGATAGATATGAAGAGACTTAGGTTTTAGATAGATAGATAGAGAGAGAGAGAGAGAGAGAGAGAGAGAGAGAGAGAAAGAAAGAAATAGATAGATAGATAGATAGATAGATAGATAGATAGATAGATAGATTAGAAATTCCGAAGTCCATTGTCATTTTGGACCGGCCGTAATGAAGTTTTCAGCTAAAAAATGAAACTGCTTTCTTCTCAATATTCCTTTTTGCAAAGTAAATATTGAATAAATAAACGAATTAATGAATTCAGACAACGGAGTTGAAATCTATATTTTTATTGCACAGATTTACAATCGGCCCAAAGTTTAGTACGAGAGAAGGAACAATGAACAGTGAATAGATTGAGAGCTGGTTCAAACGATACACTCTCACTAGTGTAATACTCTTCTGGTGTACTTACTGTTTAATATACAATATATCTACAAACCTGGTTTTTTAATACTTAACTATTTACTTGGTTACAACAAATGTTATGCTTTTAAATAAATATTTTTGGTACCCGCCTCGTTTATTATTCCTTAAGGCATATATACGTCCGAAGAGAATATCTGTTACCCACCACGTTTTTATTTCTTAACAGATATATACGTCCAAACAGAATATATATTACCCACCTCGTTTTTTATTCCTCAAGGGATATATACGTCCGCGAAGAATATTTATTACCAACCTCGTTTTTTACTCCTTAAGGGATATGTACGCCCGAAGAGAATATCTGTTACCCACTACATTTTATATTCTTTAAGGGATATATACGTCCGAGTAGAATATCTATTACTCACCTCGATTTTTATTCCTTATGGCATATATACGTCCGAAGAGAATATCTGTTACAAACCTCGTTTTTTATTCCCTAAGGGATATATACGTCCAAAGAGAATATCTGTTAACAACCTCATTTTTTATTCCTTAAGGGATATATACGTCCAAAGAGAATATCTCTAATCACATCGTTTTTTATTCCTTAAGGGATATATACGTCCGAGGAGAATATTTATTACCAACCTCGTTTTTTACTCCGTAAGGGATATATTCGTCCGAAGAGAATATCTATTACCCACCTCGATTTTTATTCCTTAAGAGATATATACGTCCAAAGAGAATATCTGTTACACACCTTATTTTTTATTCTTTAAGGGATATCTACGTCCGAGGAGAATATCTATTACCCAACTCGTTTTTTATTCCTTAAGGGATATATACGTCCGAAGAGAATATCTGTTACACACTTCGTTTTTTATTCCTTAAGGGATATATACGTCCAAAGAGAATATCTGTTACACATCTCATTTTTTATTCCTTAAGGGATATATATGCCCAAGGAGAATATGTATTTCTCACATTGTTGTTCATTCCTTAAGGGATATATACGTCCGAAGAGTATATTTATTACTGACCACGTTTTTTATCCCTTAAGGCATATATACGTCCAAACAGAATATCTATTACCCACCTCGTTTTTTATTACTTAAGGCGTATATACGTCCGAAGAGAATATCTATTACCCACCTCGTTTTTATTCCTTAAGCGATATATACGTACAAAGAGAATATCTATTAGCGACCATGTTATTTATTCCTCAAGGGATACATATTTCCAAAGAGAATATCTGTTACCCACCCCATTTTTTATTCCTTAAGTGATATATACGCCCGAAGAGAATATCTGTTACGCGCCTCATTTTTTATTTCATAAGGGATATCTACGTCCGAGGTGAATATCTATTACCCACCTAGTTTTTTATTCTTTAAGAGATGTATACGTCCGAAGAGAATAACTATTACCTTCTTTATTTATTAAACCTTAAGAGATATATATGTCCGAGGAGAATATTGATTACCATATCATTTTTTATTCTTTAAGGCATATATACGTACGAAGAGAATATTTGTTACACACCTCATTTTTTATGCCTTAAGAGATATCTACGTCCGAGGAGAATATCTATTACGCTCGTCGTTTTTTATTCTTTAAGAGATACCCACCTCATGGTTTATTCCTTAAGGTATATATATGTCCGAAGAGAATATTTGTTACCCACTTCGGTTTTTATTCCTTAAGAGATATATACATGCAAAGAGAATATCTGTTACTCATCTCGTTTTTTATTACTTAATGGATATCTTCGTCCCTGGAGAATATCTATAACGCACCTCGTTTTTTATTCTTTAAGAAATGCATACGTCCGAAGAGAATATCGGTTACCCACTTCATTTTTTATTCCTTAAGGGATATATACGCCCGAAGAGAATATCTGTTACCCACCATGTTTTTTATTCCTTAAGGGATATCTACGTCCGAGGAGAATATCTGTTACCCACCTCTTTTTTATTCCTTAAGGGATATATACGTCCGAACAGAATATCTGTTACCCACCTAGTTTTTTATTCCTTAATGGATATATACGCCCAAAGAGAATATCTGTTACCCACCTCGCTTTTTATTCCTTAATGGATATATACGTCCGAAGAGAATATCTCTTACCCACCTCGCTTTTTATTCCTTAACGGATATATACGTCCGAAGAGAATATCTGTTACTCATCTCGTTTTTTATTCCTTAAGGGATATCTACGTCCGAGGAGAATATCGGTTACCCACCTCGTTTTTTATTCCTTAAGGGATATATACGTCCGAAGAGAATATCTGTTACACACCGCGTTTTTTATTCCTTAAGGGATATCTACGTCCGAGGAGAATATCGGTTGCCCACCTCGATTTTATTCCTTAATGGATATATACGTCCGAAGAGAATATCTGTTACCCACCTCGCTTTTTATTCCTTAAGGGATATATACGTCCGAAAAGAATATCTCTTACCCACCTCGCTTTTTATTCCTTAAGGGATATATACGTCCGAAGAGAATATCTCTTACCCACCTCGTTTTTTTTCCTTAAGCGATATATACGTCCGAGGAGAATATCGGTTACCCACCTCGTTTTTATTCCTTAAGGGATATATACTTCTGAAGAGAATGTCTATTACCTACCTCGTTTTTTATTCTTTAAGGGATATATACGTCCAAAGAGAATATCAATTACCCACCTCGTTTTTTATTCCTTAAGGGATATATCCGTCCCAAGAGAATATCTCTTACCCACCTCGCTTTTTATTCTTTAAGAGATATATACGTCCGAAGAGAATATCTGTTACCCACCTCGCTTTTTATTCCTTAAGGGATATATACGTCCGAACAGAATATCTCTTACCCACCTCGCTTTTTATTCCTTAAGGGATATATACGTCCGAACAGAATATCTGTTACAAATCTCGTTTTTTATTCCTTAGGGATATCTACGTCCGAGGAGAATATCTCTTACCCACCTCACTTTTTATTCCTTAAGGGATATATACGTCCAGACAGAATATCTGTTACCCACCTCGTTTTTTATTCCTTAAGTGATATCTACGTCCGAGGAGAATATCTCTTACCCACCTCGCTTTTTATTCCTTAAGGGATATATCCGTCCAAAGAGAATATCAATTACCCACATCGTTTTTTATTCTTAAAGGATTTTTACGCCCAAAAAACCATTTGTTTGACAATGAACTAATTAATACAGATGTAAAAGGATAAAAGGAAGGGATTAAATATGGCGCAAAATATTCACTTTGAAAAAAGATCTCATTTCGAGGCTTTTTCAAACAAACAAACGTTTTTTTTATCGATAAAACATTTCAACAAGTTTGTACTTGAACGTATTGTGTTCTTTGTACAAACTTGTCAACTGTATGTTTTACGGTGAACTATCATGAAGTACGCTTATCTTCATTTATTTCTAATTGTTCATGACAATTTAGAATTATTTCTTCATTATCGACACGTGTCGGCAACTCCCGGCTGGCATTTCCCGCGCTTTCCTACACGCGTCATCACCACAGTAGCCAATCAAAAGTCATTATAAACTCGTTTCTTTATGGTTGGTCGGTGAAGACAAAGAGATGGAATCGTGTAGTTACGATGGTGCACGTGGGGGACGCATGGCGGACAAAAGTCTCCGTGTGTGACTGCGTCCACATAGACTGCAATATTAGAAATGAAAGAGATATTTACTTTTTTCTATGCAGGGAAAGAGAGTGGGAGGGAGTGAGGATACACACAATGAGAGAGAGAGAGAGAGAGAGAGAGAGAGAGAGTGAGTGAGTGAGTGCAGGATGCATGGAAATGAAAGAGGAAAGAAGTGAGATAGAGAGTTTGCTGCTACGGAGAAAGAAAGAAAGAAAGAAGGAAAGAAAGAAAGAAAGAAAGAAAGAAAGAAAAAGAAAGAAAGAAAAAGGAAGAAAGAACGAACGAAAGAAACGAAGAAAGACGGAAAGAAAGAACGCAGAGAGAGAATGATAGATGTGAACGAAAGGCGGAAAGAGAGAGAGAGAGAGAGAGAGACGGGATGTGCTGTGACGATTGAAAAAAGAAAAAGACAACAGAGAGAGAGAGAGAGAGAGATGGTTCGACAGAAAGAGAAAGAGAGAGAGAGAGAGAAAAAAAGAAAGAAAGAAATAAAGAAAGATAGAAAGAATATAAAAAACATAGAGAGAGAGAACAATAGATGAGAATGAAAGGCGAAACCTGAGAGAGACGGGACTTGCCCTGAAGACTGAAAAAGAAAGTGAAAACAGAGAAAGAAAGAAAAAAAGAAAGAAAGAATTTCAATGAGTGTCGTGCTTGCCCATCTTACTTGACTCTTGTACTCCTCCCTCTTCCTTTAAAAGCCTATTAATTTACTCACTCTTTTATTCATTTATCTACTCCGCCCCCACCCAGTAAACCTCCTCCTACTACGTCTTTCTTCCGTTTTCTTTGCTTGTGTGACTGCTTTTTTTCTGATGCTGTCAGTCATTTTTTTCTAAACCTTTTCTCTCCTCCTCTTTCGCTAACCAATGAATAAATATTATAGATTAAAAGCCGAAAAAAAATAATGAAAGGAGCAAACGAAATCGACCAGAAAGAAAGGGGAAAAAAAGACATTAAATTTTTTGCTTCGAGGAACAAGATTTCGGCTGCACCCGTGAACGTTCCCGACAATGGGGAAGGGTGCCGGATGACAAAATACGCCGTCGATAGAGTTAATAATAAAAAAAAAAAAAAAAAATGAAAAAAGAAAAAAAGAAAAAAGAAAGAAAAAAGGTGAAAAGTGATGTTGCCTTTTTTTTTTTTTTAAATGAATGATTTTTTTTTAATCATAGACTTAAACGCCATTCGGAATTAAAAACGGAAATTGTCCTGATAATTCCTGTCACTATTTCTGAGAACGACCGTCGTTTTCCGAATTAAACGAATAGCGAGAGAAAGAGGGAGAGATGTGGTGAGAGAGAGAGAGAGAGAGAGAGGGTGAAGAAGGATGGAAAGTAGGGAGGGAGGAAAAGGAAGGAGGGGAGAGAGAGACGAGAGATAGAGGAAAAAGGACGCGAGAAAGAGAGAGAGAGAAAAGACGAGAGAGGGGGAGGACGTGAGAGTCAGGAGGGAGAAAAAAGGAAAAGAGAGAAATAAACAAGAGAGTAGAGAGAGAGAGATAAAGAGACGCGAGGGAAGGAAAGAGACGCGCGCGCGAGAGAGAGAGAGAGAGAGAGAGAGAGAAAAGATGATACAGGAGGCGAGGGAGGAAGAAACGGAGGGAGAGAGAAACAGTCCTGAAAGAGAGAGGCTGGGAGTAGAGAGATGGACAAAGAACCGAGAGAAAGAGAGAGAGAGAGAGAGAGAAAAGAGACGAGAGAGATAGAGATAGAGAGAAAGAGACAAGAGACAAGAGAGAGGGAGAGAGAAAAGACGATGCAGGTGGAAGAAGGGGAGGGAGGAGGGAGAGAGAGAGAAACAGTCCTGAGAGAGAGAGGCTGGGAGGAGAGAGATGGACAAAGAAACGAAAGAGAGAGAAAAAAGAGACGAGAGAGAGAAAGAAACGAGAGAGAGAGAGAAACGAGAGAGAGAGAGAGAGAACGAAAAAGGGAGAGGTGTTAGGTCGTATATTCAGAAAGAAACAATAATGATCATGATAAGAGCCGAAGATTTGGAAATTGAGACAAAACTCAAGAGGTGAGACTGAACGACTTGATTGATTGATTAACCGATTTTTACGGTTCTTTTGCAGATTACTTAAAGCCAGAAAGTGTTTTTTTTGATTGTACGAAATTTTCGGAGAGTTGCATAATCCATTTTAGATTCATCAATAGTGGTCTTCAGTGATTCACTCTCCTCGTCGCCGATTTCGTGTTTTACATCATATCGGCTCAAACAGCAAACCCGACCTGGCTCGTTCGGAGTTAAGCCGCCACCTTGATAGCGTCGTGTTACGCACTTCGACATTGCAAAAAGATGTTCCGACATGTCTAGGAAAGATTCCGACCGTTCTTATTGAAATATGCCAGTCAATGTCAGCCAATGAAGAAAAGCTTTTCACGCTCCTCTCCTATATACTGGTGTCTTTTCACTTCAACCGGTTTGGATTTGAATAACTTTCCCCGGATTCCTAACTCGGTAAGCTGGTCTCTTTCTTGCAAAGTTTAATCCAAATGTTTTATACGTTTTAAATACTAATCCCATAACATTACTAACCTTTTAACTAAACCTACACGCACAGCCAAACCAAATCTATCCTATACTAGCATTTATGCTTCTCCCAAAATTATAATATTTTTTTAAATAATTCAAGTTTTACTAAGTAACCCATAGCTGGGAATGAAGAGGATCCGACTGAAATTGGAACTCGCCTCTCCGATTAATAATTCCGACTCGTTATTCATTACATCACGTACACGTCAAAGATGACAGAATCTGGTATTCCAAAGAAGTCACCTATCTATGTACTGGTCAAGCTCGACATTGTTTATCTTCGGTGATCGTAGGGGATCTGACTTTTCAATATGATATGAACGTAAACCCTGAACAATTTGCGAATTCGAAGAATTGTGACTGTCTAGACGACGGTTTTAATTGGGTTTGGAAGGATACCGAAAATGGTGCTGGCAATAAGGCGAAACTTATTGCTACTTCAATTCCCGCCATAACTAGCAGACATCTAAGAATAAAACCCCCAAACCAAATCCATGACATAATAATACTAATTTTTTGTACTTCTTCAATAGATGGCGGTTTTTTAACTTTTATAACTTCTTTTTCAATTTCCCTGCAAAACATCTCGAAGTCTGTTTAAAATATATTATTTTGACGATAACAACAAAGGGAAATAGACACTATTTACATTATTCGGACTATTGTCCTCATCTTTGTTGCCATATTTACTACAACGTTTCGGCCGTTGTACGCTCCGGCCTTCTTCAGGTAGTTGGAATGTCGAACAGAACCTTTAATTTCGCTCGCTGGGATAAACTGTTCCAGTTCCACGTGCCATGTCTAATGGATGTTATCAGTTATCTCCTGTTAATTCCCCTCTCCAAGATCTCCACCGCCTTAACCAGTTATTGAACTCACAACTCTTTGGGTCCTGTCACTGGATATAACCGACGCCTTTATCCACTGTGTCATAAAGGCATCTGTGTATGAACTTCTGGGACTTATAAACTTAATGCCTTCAGCAAATTTTTTTTTTACCGGTGCTCATATTGCAATTGTTGTTGTTATTATTGCTTATTTTTTTACCAGAGCTCATATTGCAATTTTCGATGTTATTATTGATTTTCTCTGGCACTCCTTATTACTGGTTCTCATATTGTATTCATTTCTATGCTTGGTCGGCTCAGGAGATTGGAATACAGCATGCTCAAATGAAGGAGAAATTAAGGACAGGACATTACAGTCGTGTGCGTCTAGTGTTAAATACCGAGTTGCATTTCTAAAATAAAATATCAGCCATTAAAACTTTTGCTGTCCATATGGAACAATTCAGTTTCATCATTAACTGGACAATAGCTGACATTAAGCAAATGGACGCCAAAACGAGAAAGCTTCTCATTTGTCACCGGATGCTTCATCCTAAGGCCGATCTTGATCGTCTGTATGTGTCCAGATCCGAAGGAGGTAGAGGATTAGTTCAACTAGAATTGTCTTACAAAAATCGCTCTTCAAAGATACCTGGAAAATGTTAAAGGCTGGATAATGATTTGTGCCAAAGAACATGAAAGAAATAAGAAACTTTATTCCTTAATAAAGGAAGCCAACAAATTCTAAAGGGAATTTGAAGTGGATGAAGAAGTGCAAATAAACCATAATGCACCTACTGCAGCAGCAAAGAACCTAAAAAAGAAGAAAAAAGAAAATGTAACGTACCAAATGCAGAAACGATGGCAAGATAAACTGCTTCATGGCCAATACTCTGCCCGAGCCAAATAGATAGATATAGACAAACCCCATGTCCATCAGTGGTTACGTAGTGCAGGGTTAAAAGCTGAAACTGAAGGTTTTATTCTTACTGGTCGAGACCAATGCTTGCTAACTAGAATTTACAAAGCTAACATACTAAAAACATGTGCTAGCCTGAAATGCAGAATCTGTGCTGAATTCAGAAACAATTGATCAGGTTTCACGGTGTTAGCATCCACCGAATATAAAACACGGCATACAAAGGTTTGCCAATATCTGCGCTGGAAGATCTACAGCTTTTACAAGAATAAAACCGCAAGAAAAAAAAACTCGGTTAGAGAAATGAAACCTGTAACAATTTTATGCGTCTTTAAGATACACACAGACATAATAGTTGTTATATTCTGTGTGAGTTCGTTTCAAACATCCTCGTCGCCACTGTTATATTTCCTTGCTAAGGGAATAAATACTTAACACCAGGTGCATAAGAGAAGAAAGGTTTATTGTACACAAGCAGTACAATATGAAATACGGTACAGTTATACACACAGGTCAATCTAGTAGTGAGTGTTACTAATTGGAAGGTCGGACGTTCTTGCGTCGTCTCTCTCTCTCTTGTTCTTCCCACGTCTACCCCATCTCTTGTAGACAGTCAAATCTTTCTCCTAAAGCAGGTGAATAGGCTTCTCATGTCTACGTGCTGTTGTCACTCTTTCTAGCATTGATGGAAGTTTCCTTCCTAACTATTTGTTTAAAGTAGTGTGGAAAGTCAACATCATGATTATATCATTATTTTCTCTTCTAGTCACATGATCTATTCATTTTAATTGTTGCTGCTTTTGGAAGTCTTCGAGTGTGGTCTTTGTCATATTCCGTGCTAAGGGATTAAATACTTAACACCAGTTGGATAATAGAAGAAAGGTTTATTGTACACAACCAGTACAATATGAAATACGGTACAGTTATACACACAGGTCAATCTAGTAGTGAGTGCCACTAATTGGAAGGTTGGACGTGCTTGCGTCTTCTCGCTCTCACTCTTTCCGAGTCTCTCGTAGGCAGTTGACTTTATAGGTACTTACTACCTATAATGTAATCATTCATGGGGGTGACTGGTTATTCCATTACATCAATAGTCAAAGAGCACAAGAATAGAATATGTTTTTTATTGACATGACATTCTCTGCAGATTGTAATATATCTTTGAAGATCTTCATAAAACTATCAAAATAGAAGGATCTTGAAGTGGAAATCTAAAATATGTGGCACATGTAGACATCAATAATTCCAGTTGAAGTTAGAACCCACGGATTAAGTGAAAAAGGGCCCAAAAGACTCATTGAAGGGATTCTTTGTAGCACATGTCTTAAAGAAATACAAAAAATTGTTCTTACAAGTACACCTCACACCTTACAAAGGGCTTTATGAATGTAAAATAAGTACGTTTCTGTGGGACCAGGTTGAAATCATAGACAAAGAACACTATTGGAAAATTCGTAAACTCAAGGAATCAGCACATATCCTAGGCCACAAAAACCTCCTGAGCCGACCAAGCAGAGAAATGAATACAATATGGGAACCAGTAATAAGGAGTGCCAGAGAAAAGTGATAATAACAACGAATTGAAATGGAATATGAGCTCTGATAAAAAGCATGAAATGATAAAAGCAAAAGATTGCAATATAAGCACTGGTAAAAAATGATGGTGAAGACATTGGGTTTATAATACCCCGGGAATTCATACACAGATGTTCTCAAGTTAGATCCAGTGACAGGACCCAAAGAGTTGCGAGTTCAATACCTGGTTAAGGGAGTGGGGTACTTGGAGAGGGGAATTAACAGGAGATAACTGATAACTGACATCCATTAAAACATGGCACGTGGAACTAGAACACTCTACCCCAGTGAGCGAAATAAAGTGTTCAGTTCGACATTCCAACTAGCTGAAGAAGGCCGGAGCGTACAACGGCCGAAACGTTGTGATAGATATGGCGACAAAGATGAGGACGATAGTCCGAATAATGTAAATAGGTTTTTTTTTTGTTGTTTACAAAAATGTTCAGTGGAAAGTATCCTGATTTCATTTCTGATGTTATCTCTGGTTGGGACCCGAATGGATATGAATATGCAACAGAAGTGAACTGAAATAATAAAACAATAATGATGATAACAACGATTAGAATAATAACAATAACCTCAGGTTTTATTCTTGCTGCACGGGACCCCAATGCTTGTTAACTGGAAATTACCAAACACACAGGCTGGAAAATTGCGTTGATTCCAAATGCAGATTCTGCGATAAATATCCAGAAACGATTAAACATCTTCTATCAGGTCGCACGGTGTTAGCGCCCACTGACAATAAAACACGTGTGACAATATCTACACTGGAATATATGCCACATTTACGATAAGGAAACTGCAAGAAACTTGTATGACCATCACCCAGACCCGGTTTCAAGGTGACAAATATCCCCAATCCCCCAACAAGTTACTGGCGAAAGCTGCTTATATAAAGACTCTTTAACAAAAAAGCAGTTTTCAACCCTTGTATGAACCAGATATCAATGTGCGCCAAATTCCTCAGTGCATTAGAAACAGTGCTCTTAAGGGGGAGACTGAAGGCCTTATTATGGAAGCAGAAATCCATTGTCTTCCAACTGATGCCTTCAAAGTTAAAATCAGCAAAGATGACTCAAATCCGACCTGTTGCTTATACGATAAATTTGATGAAACTATTGACCACATAAAATCAGGGTGCCCAGTCCTTGCTGAGAAAGAATACATGACA